TGGGCCCTTGGCAGTGAAAGCACAGAGTCCTAACTGCTGGACCACCAGGGAATTCCCAGGTTGAGTATCTTGGTGAGAACATCTGATCCATCCTAAATTTTTAGGCCAGACCCTAAATCTAATGTCTGGATTTATAGTGTTTATAAGATAAAGGGATAGAGATTTGAGACCTGGAGATACAGGGAAGAAGGCCATGTGAAGATCAGAGTTGTGCTACCACAAGCCAAGGGAAACCACAGCCCCCAGAAGCTGATCACGTAAGAATTCTTCCCTAGAGCCTTCAGAGGGACAATGGTCCTGCTCATACTTTGATTTTTGGACTTCTGTCTTCCAGAACTGTGAGAGAATAGGTATCTGTTGTTTTTAGCCACCAATTTTATGGTAATTTGTTACAGAAAATTACCTAGGAAACTAATACGTGTTTCAGTTTTTTGAGAGTTTCATGTCAGAACCAAACTAGCCAGAGGGTAAGGGAGCCTATTCATGGGAGCCTATTCATGGGATCTGTACAAGTCGCCTCAGCAGTAGAGGTGAAGATTGAGTGGGTCTAGGGGGGAGGTAGTTAGCAGATAGAAGATGTCTGGCCCAGGTAGAACCAACAGGATTTGCTAATGCGTTGGATCTGTGTGTTTTGTGGGATGTTGATTAAAGATAAGGAAATGTCAGTAAAGATTAAACAGCTGAATAGATGTTATGCCATTTACTGAGTAGGGAAAGACTGGATAAATGTAGCTTCCTCCATGGTAAGTTTGAAATATTTGACTGACATGGTTAAGTAGATATGTCAGGGAGACAACTGGTTATCTAACACTGGCTTAAAGACAGATCTGACCTGAAGGTACTAATGTAGAATTCATTGGACTTATAGATAATATTTAGAATCATGTTATCAGTAATCAAACATTATAGAAGCAGAGTTATTAGTCATTAATGGTCTTGATGGGAAGTCAGTCTCTAAAACGTACTACTGATTTATAAAACAAAGACAAGTAACGAAATACTGTGGTATAATTCTATGTATATAAAGTTCAAAAACATGTAGAACTAAATAATATTCAGGATAATGGTTACTTCTGGCTGAAGGGATAAGTAGCATCAGGAAAGGGTATATAGGGACTTCAGAAATTTGATATATTCTATTTAAGCTGTGTCATGAATACAAAAATATTTTTAAAATATATTGTCTTATATTTAAATATTTTACATATGTTCTAAACATCATTTATGTGGATTTAATCTTTACTGTATTTTAAAAATGAGACCGCCATGTCCAATAATTTGGCAAATAATGTCATAAAGCCTTAAAAGGAAGTATTCTGGATAAAATGCAGCAGACTCAATTACAGAGTAAAGGAAATCCCCAGCATCCCCACCCAATTCATAGAAGCTGGAAATCACCACTGTAAGCAGGTCCTAAAATAACCAAAGATTAGAGACTAGACCTTTGCCAAGGCCAGGTGGGAAGTTTGAATGGAGACTGTGAATTGTAATATATATATATATATATATATATGAACATGAACTAACAAAAGCTGGTCATACTTCAGGGAAATGGTAGATCTAAAAGTCTGCTTATGGAAAAGAGAAACAGGGAACCTTGTCACTTTTGGCTTGGATTTTTGAATGAGAAAAATATCTCCTAAAAATGTGCGGTCACAAGTCTGTCCTCATACAGACTCAGGGTTTTAATTGACATTTCTTGCTTGGTTCAGGAAATGTGTAGCTGAGAAATTATCAAAATGGCCACTGATGATGCCCCTGGGTAAGTAGCATTTAGCATAACCACCCAGTGTGGTTCAGTGGTTCAGACTCTACTCCCAATTGTAGGGGCATGGATTTGATCCCTGGTTGGGGAGCTAATATCCTGCACACTGCGCCATGAGGCCTTAAAAAAAAAGAAATGATTAGCTCGCAATCTTAAATTACAAAACATGAACCTCTCTGATTAAGAATCAACAGAATCAGGGGCTTTCCTGGTGGTCTAGTGGTTGGCAATCTGTTTGATCTCTAGTTTGGGAAGATCCCACATGCCATGTAGCATCTAAACCTATGTGCCATAATACTGAGCCCTGTGATCCAGAGCCCAGGAGCCACAACTACTGAAACCTGTGCTTCTAGAGCCTGTGCTCCCCACCAAGAGAAGCCACCGCAGTGAGAAGCCCATACAGTATGCTGAAGCCCCAGCAGAGTCAAAAACAAACAAATACGTAAATCTTTAAAAAAAAAAAAATCAACAGAATTAGATTCCCAGAGACTTCAGAAAATGGTATTATTGAAACACTATAAAACAAGTGTGTTTAAAATTTATTAAATAAATGATGAAATAAAAAAATGAAAAAAGAGCAATGTACAATTAGACTATGAAGAACTAAATGTGGCAGAGTAAAGAAATAGTGACCTGGAAGATAGATCTGTAGAAATTACCCACAGGAAGCATAATTTCCATTTTCACATGGGCATATGAACCAATTCTGGGATTTGAGACCCAAGTAAAAGTCTGCTAAGACTTTCAGGGAATTTTTTTGCTTCCCTGAAATTGATGCTTCTTTCTGACATGAATTCTGACATGGCCAGGATTTGAAGCAGTTGAAACTCTCATATGTTCTTTTGGGAATGCAAAATAATAGAGCCACATTGCAAGAACAGGTGAGTACTTTCTTATGTAAAGTTAAATACACACTTAACATGTAGAAAGTGTGGAATTCCAGGGACACAGAAATCCTGTTTTTAGGTGACTACCCAAGAAAAATAAAAACTGTGTTCCCACAAAAGTTTATGTGGGAAGCCCCACCAGGGACTTTCCTGGTGGTCTACTGGTTGGGAATTCAACAGCCAGTGCAAGGGACACAGGTTCGATTCCTGGCCTGGAAAGACCGTACATGCCACAGAACAACTAAGCTCAGCTAAGCTCTAGAGCCTGCAAGCCGCAGCTAGTGAGCCCATGTGCTGCAGCTGGAGAAAGCCTGAGCACAACAAAGAACCAGCCCAACAAAACAAATAATTAAAAAAATTTTATGTGAGTTGTTATAGCCTTATTCAAATTTGTCTAAAATGGAAATAGTCCAAATGCTCTTTAGTTGGTAAAGAAAGAAATTCATTGCAGTGGAATGCTTCTCAGCAATAAAAAGGAACAAATTACAGAAGCATGCAACAACACCAATGAACCTGTGTTAAGATGCATTATGCAAAATGAAAGAAGTCAGATTTGAAGGCCTAATTTCTTAATGATTCTGTTTATATGACATTTTGGGGAAGGCAGGACACTGGAGACAGAACAAAGATGAGTAGTTGCTTGGGATTGGTAGGAGGGATTGTCTACAAAGGGATACTGGAGAATTTCTGGATTATGGAACCGTTCTATATCTTTATTATGGTGGTAGTACCCAACTGTATGGATTCATCAAAACTCATTGAACTAACTGTATACCAAAATAATTTTTTTTGCTATGTATAAATTATACTATAATTAAAAGAAAAACAAGGAATAAGAAGATAGTACAGTATTCAGAGTAAATCAGAGTAAACTTACTGGAGAAATTTGGTTATGAAGAAGAGTAACTGAAGAGGATGTGGGAGTCTACAGAAGGTTTTTGTTTTTAAAGCAAATAATGGAGCATAAATTGTATAAGAATGATCCATTTTATGGGAATTCCCTGGTGGTCTGTTGGTTAGGACTTTCAGTGCCCAGACTTAGGTCCAGTTCCTGGACGGGAAACTTAAGATCCCGCAAGCTGCAGGGCACAGCCAGGAAAAAAAACAATGATCCATTTGAGAAAGGTAGTTTGAAGATGTGCATAAATGAAGAAACAACGGGAGGAGCCAAGACAGGAGGGATGAAATCCAGCCAGCACATGTGGAAGTGTTGGTCTCTGCAAGGATGTACGTGTTTTCCATAGAAGAGGAGACCAAGGAAAAGATGCATGCAGTTTTGAGCTAAATTTGGTGGGGAGGTGGCTTCATTTTTTTCATTGAAGTGGATCAGATTCTGATATCAGCATGAAATGGGTTTGAGGAACAAGTAGAAGGCATGAAATAATTGTTGCTTGATAGTGGGAGGGTGCCCTGTCTAAGGAGACTTTGAATGATTTTCAGCTACTTAGGGCTCATTTGAAGTTAATGTTCATGAATTTTTCATGACATAATATGTTGTGTGAATCTTCTCCTCTTTATAGATGATTAGCTGCTGGGTGTTGCCATAAAAAAAAGGTGAATAGCAAAGTTCTTCCAGGAGAATGTCTGGAGAGTTTGATGGAGGAGAGGAAACAAGGAGTTGAGGATTTTTATGAAGGAGTAATCTATACTTTGGACTATGGAGGGAATTTATTCAGTAGTGGTGTGAAGGTCATTGAATGTATTGCATGTTGAAACCTTTGACAAAGATGGCAATCCCTGGCTTATCGCTCTCTCTTTATGTCTGAATGCCATACCTTTCAAATGTTTGTTGAATGAACAAATGTCAGTCTCTTAGTGAAGATGTCTTATATCTCAGTTTGTATTCTTCTACAGTCTCCTTATTATAACAGTCTTTTATAGTGTGAACACTTTTGTGGGTAGGAATGGGCAGATCTTCTTATCCTCTGGCATGTAGTAATCACTGAATAAATATTTGCTAAATAAATGACTGTATGATTTCTGCTTGTTTAGTTCCTTGTGTTGTATTGAAATTGTCAGATTTATTGGATGTATTCTCTACTAAACTGTTTGGTCCAAAAGGATTAGAGCTATATCTTACTCATCCCTGTATCTCAGGGGCTGGCATAGGACAGGAGATAAGTGAAGGATTGAGAGAACTTAATTTTTTTTAAAGATACAACAGAAGCCACAACAGGTGAACATCTTCCACATGGTTGATAATTGGAATAAGGTGGTTTCATTACATATAAATCATTAGTGTGAGGAATGTATCTTAAGATATCCTCAAGTATAATATGACCGCTTTTATGTTGAATTTTTGTAGATGTGTTGTAACAAGTTTGTTTGTTTGGGGGTTTGTTTGCTAGGAGGAGGCATCTCCCTACTCTTTGGTCAACATATGCCTGAACATTCTGGTTGCTAACCTGGAGAAATTGTGTTCTGAAAGATCTGATGGAACACTTTGTCTTCCGGAGCATTGGAGTTTTCCTCAGGAATTAGCTGATCGATTCGTTGGGATGATGACTTGGCAAGGTAATGATAAGACTGCTTTATTGTGTACATTTATAGCACTTTACTATTTGAAAAGCACTTTTGCATATAATTCTGTTTTGTTCCTCTCAACAACCCGCTGGAAAACACAGAAATTTGGTGGAGGTTGATTCTGAGACTCTTTCTGGTATCCCTTGATGAAAATTATCTTCCTTCTAGACTTGCCCTGCTATTGCTATAGTCTTATCTCCCATTCCTTTTTTTTTTTTCTCCCATTCTTTTGATTGTGAATATGAACCTTTAAAAAAATTTCCTTTACTTCCTTTTGTAGTAGGGCTTTCAAAGGGCTGTTTTTGCTATGTTAGTGTTTTCTTAATGAAAAATTTGGGGGAGTAAGACATGATTAAGATAAAATTCACATAGTGTATAATTCATCCATTTAAAGTACATAGTTCAGTTATTTATTTTTTTTTTAGCATATTCACAGATTTTTGCAGTCATCATCACAGGCAGTTTTCATCACCTCAAAAAAAAAAAAAAAACACCTAATTCATCCCCCTATAATTCTTAGCAGTCACTAATCTACTTTCTACCTCTGTGAATTTGCCTTTTCTGAACATTTAGTGTAAATGGAATCATTTAATATGTGACCTGTTTTGTCTTTGGAGAAGGCAGTGGCACCCCACTCCAGTCCTCTTGCCTGGCAAATCCCATGGACGGAGGAGCCTGGTAGGCTGCAGTCCGTGGGGTCGCTAAGAGTCAGACACGACTGAGTGACTTCACTTTCACTTTTCACTTTCACGCATTGGAGAAGGAAATGGCAACCCACTCCAGTGTTCTTGCCTGGAGAATCCCAGGGATGGGGGAGCCTGGTGGGCTGCCATCTATGGGGTCACACAAAGTCGGACACGACTGAAGCGACTTAGCAGCAGCAGTAGCATTGTGTCTTGCTTCTTTTTTAGCATAATATCATCAAGGTTCATCCATTTTGTAACATCAACTACTATTGAATTTTTATGGCTGTGTAATATTCCATTGTATTGATATACTACCTTTTATTTGTTTCTCAGTTGATGAACATTAGGGTTTAAGATTTTTTTTTTAATGTGGACCATTTAAAAAATCTTTATTGAATTTGTTACAATATTGCTTCTGTTTTATGTTTTGCTTTTTCGACCACAAGATGTGTGGGATTGTAGCTCCCAGACCAGGGACTGAACCCTCACCCTCTGCACTGGAAGGCAAAATCTTAACTACTGGACTGCCAGGGAAGTCCCTGTGTTGTTTTTATTATACATTTTGGCTATTATGAATAATGCTTCTATAAATATTAGTGTGGACATTTGTGTGTGTGGATATATGCTTTTATATCTTTGGGTGTATACCCAGCAGTGGAATTGCCGGGTTAAGTGGTAGCTTTGTGTTTAACTTTTTGAAGAACTTCAAATTCTTTCCCGAAGTAGCTGTACCATTTTATGTTGCCACCAGCAGTTGGAACAGAAGAGCTCAATTTTTCCACATCCTTACCAAAACTTGTTACCTAATGACTTTGATTATAGCCGTTCTGGTGGATGTGAAGTGGTATCTATTGTGGTTTTTATGTGCATTTCCCTGATAGCTGATTGGCTTCCCTGGTGGTTCAGGCAGTAAAGAATCCGCCTGCAATGCAGGAGACCTGGGTTTGATTCCTGGGTTGGGAAGATCCCCTGGAGAAGGGAATGGCTACCCACTCCAGTATTCTTGCTGAAAAATTCCAGAGACAAAAGGAGCCTGGCGGGCTATAGTTCATGGAATCACAAAGAGTCAGACGTGACTGAGCACAATATAAAATATAAATACAAAAAATACACATATACCTCCTTTATCCATTCATCTGTTATTGATATGTATGTTCCTGTTGCCATTTTAAAAATTGTTTTTATAGGTCTTTTTCTTTTCTTGTGTTTTCTGCCTAGAGAATCTCCTTTAACATTTATTGTATAGATGGTATCCATTCATCTGTTGCTGGACAGTTACGTTGCTTCCATTTCTTGGCAGTTGTAAATAATGCTCCTGTGAACATTAGGATGTATGTATCTTTTCAGATCAGTGTTTTGTTTTTTTCTTGGATATATACCCAGGGTAGAATTGCTGGTCATATGGTAGTTGAGTTTTTTTAAGAAAACTCCATACTGTTTTCCACAGTAGCTGCACCAATTTTTACATTCCCACCAACAGTATATGAGGGTTTCCTTTTCTCCACCTCACCAGCATTTGTTATTTGAGTTCTATTTGATGATAGCAATTCTGACGGGTGTGAGGTGATATCTTATTCTAGTTTTGATTTGGATTTCCCTGGTGATTAGGGATATAACACACACATCTTTTCATGTGCCTGTTGGGCATATGCATGTGTTTGGAGAAATGTCTGTTTAGGTCTTCTTTCCATTTCTAAATAGAATTTTTTCTTGATATTAAGTTATATGAGTTGTTTATATATGCATTGGGGATGTTTTATTGGTTGTATTAGGTTGGTGAAAAAGTAATGGCAATTCTTCAGACTGTGAATTTTAATTTTAAATCATTATAACTAGGCTCAAACACATCTTTATTAATCAAAAAAGGAACCATTACAATCAACATATGTTTTTCCAATGAGAAGTAAGTTTTTTTATTCCTGTAGAAGAAATCTGTGTTTTGGGATTCAGTGAACTCCTGGAAGGCATTTTCTGCCTCTGTTGGTTGTGGAAGCATTTTCCCTGCAGAAAGTTGTTGAGATGCTTGAAGAAGTGGTAGTCAGTTAGTGAGAAGTCAGGTGAATATGGTGGATGAGGCAAAACTTTGTAGCCCAGTTCGTTCAACTTTTGAAGCATTGGTTGTGTGATGTGGGGTTGGGCATTACAGTCGGAGAAATGGTTCAAATGTTCATTTGTTGGGTAGATTAAGAGAAGACAACACTTCAAAACAATGATTTTTTTGATTTTTGGTCACCTCATGAGGCACCCACTTATCGAACTTTTTCACCTTTCCACTTTGCCTCAAATGCCAAATGACCGCAGAATGGTCAACGTTGAGTTCTTCAGCCACTTGTCATGTAGTTTTAAGAGGATCAGCTTCGGTGATTGCTCTCAATCGGTCGATGTCAACTTCCGATGGCCAGCTACTACACTCCTCATCTTCAAGGCACTTGTCTCCTTTGTAAAACTTCTTGAACCATCACTACTATGTACGTTAGTTATCAGTTCCTGGGCCAAATGCATTGTTGATGTTGCCTGAGTTGTCTCCACTACTTTACAATCCATTTTGAACTTGAATAAGAAAATTGCTTGATTTGCTTTTTGTCTAGCATAATTTCTGTAGTCTAAAATAAATAACAATAAACAGCCTAAGAAATGCTGGATGAAACACAAGCTGGAATCAAGATTGCTGGGAGAAATAGCAATAACCTCAGATATGCAGATGACACCACCCTTATGGCAGAAAGCGAAGAGGAACTAACAAGCCTCTTGATGAAAATGAAAGAGGAGAGTGAAAAAGTTGACTTAAAGCTCAACATTCAGAAAACTAAGATCATGGCATCTGGTCCCATCACTTCATGGCAAATAGATGGGGAAACAGTGGGAACAGTGACAGACTTTATTTTCTTGGGCTCCAAAATCACTGCAGATGGTGACTGCAGCCGTGAAATTAAAAAAACGCTTCCTCCTTGGAAGAAAAGTTATGACCAACCTAGACAGCATATTAAAAAGCAGAGACATTACTTTGCCAGCCAAGGTCCGTCTAGTCAAAGCTATGGTTTTTCCAGTAGCCATGTATGGATGTGAGAATTGGATGATAAAGAAAGTTGAGTGCCAAAGAATTGATGCTTTTGAGCTGTGGTGTTGGAGAAGACTCTTGAGACTCCCTTAGACTGCAAGGAGATCCAACCAGTCCATCCTAAAGGACATCAGTCCTGAATATTCACTGGAAGGACTGATGCTGAAGTTGAAACTCCCAATACTTTGGCCACCTGATGTGAAGAACTAACTCGTTGGAAAAGACCCTAATGCTGGGAAAGATTGAAGGCGGAAGAAGGGGATGACAGAGGATGAGATGATTGGATGGCATCATTGACTCAATGGACATGAATTTGAGTAAACTCCAGGAGTTGGCCATGGACAGGGAGGCCTGGCGTGCTGCAGTCCATGGGGTCGCAAAGAGTTGGACACGACTGAGTGACTGAACTGAACTGAGCTGAACTGAATTGAACTGAAACAGCATGTAATAAGTCATTAACAAAAAACATAAAGTGAGAAATGCACATTAAAATGATGTAACCACATTTATTTAAGAATGTATCCCAATATCATATGGCAAAGTTCAACAATGCAAAACCTCAATTACTTTTGCACCAATCTAATAGATTGGAGGGGAGAGCTCACAGTAGTGTTTCACTCTTGCCATGTTGTTGATGTTATGCCCTCTGCTCTAATTGTACTTTTCTTCTGCTTACTTTGGATTTAATTTGTTCTTCTTTTTCTAGTTTCCTAAGGTGGGAACTTAGGCTATTGATTTTAGATCTTCTTTACTAATGTATGCATTCACAGCTATAACTTTCCCACCTAGCACTGCCTTTGCTGCATCCCATAGATATGGGTAAGTTGTGTTCTTATTTTCATTTAGTTCAAAATATTTTGTAGTTTCTCTTGATTTTTTTTTTCCCTTGATTCATCTGTTATTTAGAAGCATGTTTATCTTCATGTATTTTGGGACTTCCAGTTACTTTCTTTCTTTAAAGAAACTGATCATTTGTTTTGTACAGTATCCTACAATCTGGACTTTACCATTGTTTGTGCTATGATTTGACATGTTTCTCTGATTCTTGTAATTCCTATACATTGAAAATTAGAGGTAGAGGCTTGATCAAATTGAAGTTTGATGTTTGGTAGTGATGTTTGTACTTCTTGTCCTCAGTTTCTTCAGATGTGTCTGACTCTTTACAAACCCCATGGACTTGAGCCTGCCAGGCTCTTGGGTCCATGGCAATTCTCCAGGCAAGAATACTGGAGTGGGTTGCCATTTCCTTCTGCATTGTACTTCTTAAGGGTGTTAATAAAGTCTGATTATCTGGTTGGTTTTCACTTTTGGTGATCATAGATGATAATTACCTACTTAAATTTATTAAATCATCATGGGTTTTTGTATGTTTGACTTAGTGTTTATTACTCTCAACCTTCCTTGTTTGGAGTAACTTGTTTTTCTGTTGTTTATCCTTGGTTACTGTTCCGCACTTTCCTTAAATGCTTCTGTTTCTTTATATATTTGTTGTTTTATGTTCCTCAAGTTTCCATCTTGGGAAACTTTGTGTATTTTCTCACTTTGTATACTCCCTGGATAATCTTCTTTGGTTTAGCTACCTCTTCTACTTTAATTTCCCAGAGTTTTCAGTGCAGGTCTTTATTCGAAACTCCAGAACCACACACAAGATAGCCAGGTATCTTGTAACTCTTATCTAGGCTGCTGAATCATCCTATTCTTTTGGTTTTCTTCTACTTCAGTGTCTGCTGCTTATCTTTCTGCTCATCTAGCTTCCCTTGAAGGACAGTGCAGAAGCTATCTGATCTTGAATGTAGGCACTTTTTGGTAGTTGGTCCTTGTTCCTTTTCCTCTTACATTCCATGTTTAAATACCATTCTCTATTCCGATTAATTCCAAATGTTTATACTTCAGTCTTTCAGATTTAAAATATATAGAATCGAGAAGACCTTGGCTGATTTTGTGGAAAGTCCTGAGGGTAGAATAACTACTCAGATCTGTGTTTTGTTAGGGTGTGAGGGCTGGATCTCTATACTTCCCAACACAGTCTTTGGATGTGAGTTTCCATGGGAAGGTGGTATGACCATGGGTGAAGCAACTCTCTTCAGCTGATGCATTCTGCATAAATGAGGGCTGTCAGGTGGTGGCATTTCCAGCAGCTCAAGTAGTAAGTCCTTTTTTAAAAACCATTTATTTATTTACTTATGGCTGCATTGGGTCTTAGCTCTTCATTATGGCCTGTGGGCTTCTCTCTAGGTGTTTTGTGTGGACTCCAGAGTGCAAGGGCTGTGTAGTTGTGGCATGCAGGCTCTCTGATTGGGGTGTGTGGGATCAGTCGTTGGAGCTTGTGGGCTTAGTTGCCCCTTGACACTGGCATCTCAGTTCACCAACCAGGGATCGAACCTGCGTCTCCTGCATTCAAAGGCAGGTTCTTAGCTGCTGGAAGTCCCAGTCATTTATTTTTAAGTGTGATCTGGTGTCACATCACAGCATCTGCTACACTACCATTTCCTCCCATCTCAAGATGGTTTGGCCATCTATTTAGCTGTTCAGTGACTTAGGAGTCATTTTTCATTCCGCCCCCACTCTGTCCTTGATTCTTTTTTTTTTTTTATTTTTTTTTAATTTTTTTTTTGTCGTTGATTCTTTTGACACATTTTCTGCCTTCAAAGTACGTATCTCAAGTGTTCTTCTCCTCAAGTCAGGTCAAATGTTAATGTCTGACTCTTTGCGACCCCGTGGACTGTAGCCTGCCAGGCTCCTCTGTCTGGGGAATTCTCCAGGCAAGAATACCAGAGTGGGCATCCATTCTCTTCTCCAGGGGATCTTCCCAACCTTGGGATCAAACCCAGGCCTCCTGCATTGCAGGCAGATTCTTTACCATCTGAGCCACCTTTTCCTCCTAGCCCCCTGTCAATGACACCTTTCTCTTTCTTCTCCCCTGGTCTCCCAAGTGGTTTCCTTACCTTTAATTTTGCCCATCGCCAGGCTCTGCCACATGGCGGAGAGTAGTCCTCTATATCTTAATTATATCTGTCTGCACTTTGCCACTCTTTAAAGTCTTCTCTTTGTACTTAGGATAAAAGGCCAGTTATTTACCCTGGCCAACAAGGTCTGACTGACTCTTGCCTCTGTCTGTGACCTGTCAGATTATGGGATCCTCTTTCCATCTGTGCTTCAGCTGCAGTGGTTTTCTCTCATTTCACAGGAATAGCCAAACTGTTCTCTTCTCAGGGCTTTAGCCTGTCCCTCTGTCTGGAATGACAGCTACTTTTGCCTTTCACATCCTTTTTGTCTCAGCTTAAATGTCACCTCCTCATACTGCACCTAAAGACAGAAGATTCTTGTCTTCCTTCTCATTTTTCCCCACCCCTGTGTTATAGTCTTGTTTGTTTCCTTTAGAACCTTTACTACGTTTTTAATGTTAATAGTATTTTGCTTGTTTTATGTTCTTTCGTATCTGTGTTCTTCTAGGATGTGAAAAAACCCCATTATGGCAGGAGTCATGTCCGTTTCATTCACTATTCTCAGCATGTAGCGTAGCACTTGATATTTCTTGAATAAGAAAGAAAGATAGTACTAAGTCGTGTCTGACTCTTGGCAACACTATGTACTGTAGTCTGCCAGGCTCCTCTGTCCATGGCATTCTACAGGCAAGGATGCTGGGGTGGGTTGCCATTTCCTTCTCCAGGGTATCTTCCTGACCCAGGAATAGAATCCAGGTCTCCACCATTTCAGGCAGATTCGTTACCAACTAAGCTGTGTGGGAAGCCCTTGAATAAATGTAATAAGTTCTTTTTGAAAGCCTTGAGTATTGAAGTTTCCTTTTTCCTATGTTAGTAGCATAGCTCAACTCAGACTGGGGACTTGTGAATCAGCTTATATACCTTTTCCCTTGAATACTGAGGTTTCCTTTTTCCTATGTTAGTAGCATAGCCCAACTCAGACTGGGGATTTGTGAATCAGCTTATATACCTTTTCCCTTAGTTCTTTCCCCTAATCCATTCAGCTGCTGTGTTCTGTCAGTTTAAACTTTCATCTCTCGTAATTAAAATCATTAATAATCTCTTGCCTCATCCCACTCCCATCAAGCACCATCTTAATTCTTTTGTATCATCACACATAATTGGTCTTTGTAAAAATATATTATAACCATTCATTTTTTGCTTAAAAATTTTGAGTTTTTCATTTTTGTTTACAGGGTACATGAGTTTCCTAACTTTGTTTACAGGCCCATCTGCCTTTTACCTTCCTCTCCACTGTCATTTCCAGCCAGGCCTCCCCTTGTACACAATGGTCCAGTAGCACTGATCAAATAGGGTCATTCTGAATAATCTGATGTTCTATGCCTCCACGTCTTTGTCATGTTCTTCCACCCTTCACCTTCCCCTTGGAAAACTGATATTCAGCCTTAAAAACCTGCCCTGATATTAATCTCATCTGTATTCAATATCTGATACAAATCACCACTGAATATAATATATTATCATAATCACTTAATTGCCTGACATGCTTCCTAGACTGAATTCTTTGTGGTCACAGGTGTCTTATTACCTTGTATGCCTATTACTTAATATGGAATCTCACACATAGAAGATGCTTAGTATTAATAAGTTGTTTCTAAATGAAATCTAATTAAACCATTCATTTTAACAGATGAGGAAAATGAGGCATAGAGTGAGTGATAAGTCTTACCAAAGGCCATCCACTAGTTTGGTTAAAAGTAATCATTAGTGCTATTTGCATATTATAGGCCCTATACTTACCTACCTCTTTTTTTTTGTCTTTTGTTTTGTTTTTTATGAGCAAAATTGAAGTGAAGTGAAGTAAAGGTCACTCAGTTGTGTTTGACTCTTTGTGACCCCATGGACTGCAGCCTGCCAGGCTCCTCTGTCCATGGAATTCTCTAGGCCAGAGTACTGCATTGGGTAGCTGTTCCCTTCTCCAGGGGATCTTCCCACAACCCAGGGATCAAACCCAGGTCTCCCACATTCTTTACCAGCTTAGCTACCAGGGAAGCCCAAGTGAACAAGGTTACTGTGGTTAAAACTGTGGACGCTGAAGTCCAACTGGTTTTGATTCTTGATTCTGCCACACATTTTGACCTTGAGTAAGTTCCTTAACCTCTTTAAGCTTCAGTTTCCTCAGCTGTAAGATGGTAATAATCATAATTCCTTTACAATATTATTTTAAAGAGTAAATGAGATAATCTGAGTAAAGGGTTTAGAACAATGCTCAGCACAGAGTAAACAGCAAATGTAGTCATTATTGTTACTATTATCATCTATCAAAGTTTACTGGCCACAGTGCCTCCTGGAAAAGGCATGAGATTTAGTTATTACAAGCTGGTTCTGGTTCTCTTATAGGCAAGCTGACTGATAGAACAGCAAGCATTTTCCAAGGCAACCAAATGAAACTGAAGCTGGTCAACATTCAGAAAGCTAAAATATCCACAGCTGCATTCCTAAAAGCCTTCTGCCATCACAGACTCATTGAACTGGATGCTACTGCAGCACGTACTGACCTCTCAATCCCAGACATCCTCAGTGGTCTCTGCAGCAATAGCTGGATCCAAGAAAACCTCCGACGTCTCGTCTTGGACTCAGCAAGCATCCCTCGAGATTCAAGAATGTTGTTCTTTGGTCAGCTCACTGGTCTTCGCGTTTTAAGCGTTTTCAATGTTTGTTTTCATAGTGAAGACCTGGTTAATGTTTCGCAGTTACCAAAACTGGAAAGCTTGGATATCTCTAATACTCTGGTCACTAACATCTCTGCACTCCTTACCTGTAAGGATCGACTCAGATCTCTTACAATGCACTATCTAAAATGTCTGACCATGACCAAACCACAGATTCTCGCAGTCATTAGAGAACTTAAATGTCTGCTTCACCTTGATATTTCTGATCACAGGCAACTCAAGTCAGATCTAGCTTTTCATTTGCTACAGCAGAAAGATATTCTGCCCAATATTGAGTCCCTGGACATTTCTGGGGGTAATTACATCACTGATGGAGCTGTAGAACTATTTATACAACAACGGCCTGCGATGCAATTTGTGGGACTGTTGGCTACAGATGCTGGTTATTCTGACTTCTTTTCTGCAAAGGAAGGCTTGAGGGTTCGTTCTTTTCTGAAATAAGTTTGTTTCACTTGTTCAAAACATTATTAAGCTTTCTTTGTGTCTCAGAATCTGTATTAGGCATTCGAGTTACAAAGACAGATTAAAAATTCTTAAGGAGCTTAATGATTAAGAATTATTGTGTAGCTACTATGTGGTATGAAGTTGTGAAAATATAACCTTAAACACGATACAGCCCTAACCTCCAATGTCTTCCAGTCTAGCTTGATAACGATAAGCAGAGCCATTTATACATTATCTCTTATGTGCCAGTTGTCATGTTTTGCAGACTGTTTTCTTTTTTAATCCGCCCATTTTACAGATGAGGAGGTTAAGCTCTTTATCCACAGTCATAGAACTGTTAAATGATAGAGCTGGGTCTTACATCTGCGTCTTTGTGAAACTAATGCTCTTACCTCAGTAACAACTAAATATAATGAAGAAGGCAAGTGAGGTATGCCTAACGTCGTTTTTGATAAAGGTATGACAAAACGCAATTTTTAAAAGACCCTGAAGGAAAAAGTATTGTACATTGCTAGACTATGTTTATAGTCTCTCATGGTGCTGTTTTTAAAAGAGCATATATTTAAATATTTATGTTCTAGAATACTTTTTAAAAACAGTGGCTTTCTATCTCAGCTGTACATTGTAATCACTTTGGAAGTTTTAAAATACACTGATGCTTGTGGCCTATTCCCTAGAGATTCCGATGTAACTGGACTGGGATTTGGCCTGGGCATTAAGTAATTCTCATGTGGAGCCAAAGTTCAGAACGGCAACTTCAAAAGAACCCTTTAAAAACAATGATTTATTTAATTTTTACTAGGGTGAGAGTAAAGTGATTTTCAGTCATTAGTTGTTTTCATATTTTATTCTTTTGATTTAAAAATAGCAATTGTGTCTTAAAGTTTTTTAATTTTAAATAACTTTTTAATGAAGCCATGAAGCTATCAGTTGTATCATTAGGCTACAAATAGAGAGATAATTTGAACTTTCAGATTAAATGTGTATAGTAGAGAATTGTTTACAAAGAATGTATACCTAGGCCTGTTTCAGATTAATGGCACTTAGTGTCACAATGATCAAAAGAACCACAGTAGTTTAAAAAAAAATTTTTTTTAAACACATCAATTCATGATATATATAGTAATATTGCCAAGTGCTAGAATATTCTGTAGAGAGATTATACATGTAGTTAAGATACTGTCAAAGCCAGTACACCAAAAGAAAATGAGATGTTTCTTTTCAGTAAACTTCATCTGGTACACATGTAAGTTTAGTTTATTTTGAAAATGTTAAATAATGCATTATATACAGTGTTGGATATTTTGGGGGAAGGAGAGGAGAGACCAAAATCTTCCCAGTACTAAGAAACTCTAAAGATCTTAATCCAGACTTAGTGGAGTGTAAGGTATGATAAATTTAAAAGATGTGTTTCAGAAAATCTTATATTTAAGAGAAATATGTATTTTTCAAATCAGATGCAAAATATACTAAGCATTTTTGTTGTTTGGGTTGCTCAAAAGTTTGTTTAAAATGGATAAAATTAAGTGTTAGTGAAAACCTTCTAACAGAACAGGTATGTGTTATTTTCTTGTACCCAATGTTAGAGTGGGCAGTGTGTACTTAATTTCTTTAAATGGGTGGAAAGGGCACCCTCCATTAGTCCTAAGAGCCATATAACATTTTCATTTGGTAGGAAATCCTTGCTGATCCACTGGAGGGGTGTCTCAGGAATGAGAATTGTTTTATACTGGCATCTGTAGGAAACCCTGGAGAGAGTGGGTGATGCAACAGCTATCTGGTCTTCTGCTTAGTCTTACAATGGCTTATCCTATGTTTTTCTTTCAGCTCTTACATCTAGATTATCACAAAATCTAGACTATATCCATTGTGTAGATTGTTAATAATGTGTAGATCCTTGCGCAGTTGATCTGCATATAGTACTTGAAAACTGTTTTGAAATAGTTTTTAATGTGGCAGATCACTAACTTTAAACATTTTGCCAAATATTCTTACCCTAGTCTCTCTCTATACACGCAATTTTTAATACACCCACCCACCTAGGTCTTAGCTGCAGAATGTGGGATCTTTAGTTGTAGCATGTGGGATCTACTTCCCTGACTAGGGATCAAACCCAGGCTCCTTGCATTGGGAGTGCAAAGTCTAGCCACTGGACCATCAGGGATGTCCCACACACAACATTTTTCTTGAGTGTAGGTTGCATACAACATGCCCTTCTGCTCATTAATATACTTTAGTTTGTATTTCCTAGAGGAAAGATAGTCTTTTTGTCTCTTCTGAGAGCAAAGGTAATCTCAAGGATGACCATAGTGCAACTGTCAAATTTCAGGAAATTTAACATTGATACAATACTTTTATCTAAAAATCTACTGTACGTGTTTCCAGTGTTGGTTTTCCCAGTTTAACATTGTTTATAAAATATTGTTCTTTTTAGTCCATGATTATTTTTACATTCAGTTGTCATATGTGTGCTTAGTCATGTCCAGCTCTTTGTGACCCCATGAACTGTAGCCTGCCAAGCTCCTCTGTCCACAGAATTTTCCAGACAGTAATAGTGGAGTGGGTTGCCATTTCCTACTCCAGGGGACCTTTCCCACCCAGGGATCAAACCAGCATCTCCTGCATTTCCAGGCTGCCTGGAAAGCCTCAGTTGTCATAGTCCTTCCTTTTCTTCATTACATTGATGTTTTTGAAGAATACAAACTAACATTGTTTTGTTTGCTTTTTTGAAAAATGTTCCTCATCTTGGGTTTGTCTGATGCTTCATCATAATTCAGATTCTTTCAAGTCTGCCCAGAATACCACATAAGGGATGTTGCGCCTTTCTCAAGTGTATTACAATATGAAGCACAGAGTGCCCCTTATTGGTGATGTTAATTTTAATCACTTGGTCAAAGTATTGTTCAGGTACTAGGTAAAATATCCAGGCGCAGATAAAATATTATCTGTATACTGTTGTACTGTTTCTGCCCTACATAGATAATACTATTCCTTTTGAAACTAATGAGTGATGTATAAGATATTAGAAGACTATGCCAATATCCTGGCCCTCATCAGACTTTCTGATCTTATAGCATCCATTGATGATTCTTACCTGAACCATTCTAACATATCCTCAGTATGAACTCATTGATTCCTGTTGTTTTCAATGATTTATAATGCATTGCTATTCTTAATTGGATGCTCAGTTTGTCACAGGGGGGCCAATGAGAGCTCCTTTGTCTGTTTTTACATGCCCCCATTATTACTGTTACTATTTTGAGTCCTTCTTTACTTTCTAGGCTTCTTATACTTCCCTGTTTTGGCCTTAGAGTTAGACATTTCTCCCAAGAGCCCTGGTTCCTTTTACTGGGAAACCACTGTCTGAGTGCTGGATGTGTTTTTAAGCCGTTTCATCAAGCAGAGCTAAGAAACAGATGAAGTTTAAAAGTGATACTTAACAAATGTCCATCTTTATATTGTTCTTCTTTACTTTTCCACATTCTGTGTTTGTACCTCTCTTTTCCATATGGAGAACCTTGGCTTCCAACAGCCTCAGCACATTTTCCTTAATCCTATAACACATATTAAATAGTTTCGGAGTTGCTTCATCTATACTACTTTGAAACACAAACCTACTAAAAAAGAGTTGAAGATATATTTGCAATTCTTTCTTTTCACTCTGGACTGAGAGTATAGTCAAAGTATTAAGCCGTATATATTTAGGTTTTTAAATTTCCACTTCTTACACAGTAGGTAGCATAGTACATGTACTCTGTACTTTGCTTTTTTCACTTGGTGGTATGTCTTGGAAATCACCCCATGTCAGTTCATGTTCCCATTTTTGGGGAGGGGATGGTAAAATACACGTAAAATATTTCATTTTAATCTTTTTAAGTGTATAGTTCAGTGGTTTTAAATATATTAATAATTTTGTTCAACCATCACCATTATTCATCTCCATAGCTCTTTTCGCCTTGTAAAGCTGAAATTCTGTAGGCATGAAACACTGACTCCCATTACCCCTTCTCCCCGGACCCTGAAGTACAAACTTCTACTTTCTGTCTCTGTGATTTTGACCAACTCTCTCATGTAAGTGGAGTCGCACAGTACTTGTCCTTTTGTGACTGACTCATTTTACTTTATATAGTGTCCTAAGGGTTTGTCCATGTGGCATACTGCCTTTTTCAGGTTGAATAATAACCATTATGTGTATACCACATTGTGCTTATCCAATTGTCATTAATATGTACTTGGGTTACTTCTATGTTTTGGCTATTGTGTTGATTATTGTGAGTAATGTTGCTGCAAGTAGGAGTACACAGATATCTCTTTGAGACTCTGCTTTTTTTTTTGATCACTCTGTGAAGCTTCTGGGATCTCAGTTCTTTGACCAGGGATTGAATCTAGGCCTCTGCAGTGAAAGCCCAGAATCCTGATCACTAGTCCACTGGGAAACTCCCAAGACTCTGCTTTTGGTTCTTTTGGTTTATACCCAGAAGTATATACTAGAATGGACATGAGTTTGAGCAAGCTCCGGGAGATAGTGAAGGACAGGGAAGCCTGGTGTACTGCAGTCCATGGTGTCACAAAGAGTTGGACATGACTTAGTGACTGAACAATGAGCAATCCAGAAGTGGAATTGCTGGATCGTATGGTGTGAAAGTGAAAGTTGTTCAGTTGAGTCTGACTCTTTGCAACCCCTTTGGAATTCTCCAGGCCAGACTACTGGAGTGGGTAGCCTTTCCCTTCTCTAGGGGATCTTCCCAACCCAGGTATCAAACCCAGGTCTCCCTCATTGCAGGTGGATCATATGGTAATTCTGTTAATTTTGGGGGGAACTACCATAATGTTTTCTGCAGCAGTTGCACAGGTTTTACATTTTCACTAACAGTGCACAAGTGTTCGAATTTCTTCACACACTGGCCAACACGTATTATTTTCTGTTTTAAAAATTTTTAATGGTAACTGTTCTAATGGGTGTGAAGTGGTACCTC